CTAGATTGGGGGGAACCATTAAATCTGCAAAACAGTTACAGTTCTTAATCACTGCAAACTGAACTTGTTTTGTGTTTTCTCTTGAGTAAAGCACATACCTTGAATTTGGAAGAAAGGAGAAAGGTTCTTGAACCTGTGCCAACAAACGTAACAAAACACAGCAATGTTTTGAGTTGCTTTATTAAGGTTAGTTATGAAGAGAGATGGAGAAATCAAGTAACAGTGGAAAGGAATATAACAAACTAATTTGATAAAGTTTCCAAACACTGAACACTCAAGATATTCCAAGATGACATACAGCTGCCTATAAATGACAAACACATGAAAAAATTAACATAGCATAGGCTTTACCAGTCATTTGCCCAGGACAAAGTTAAATAAAAATGCCTGGCACACTTAGGGCATGAAAAATAGAGTTAAATAAATAAAAAAATACTATGGGATGGATGTGTTCATAGAATATGCTAAACCAAGCACATCAAATAATAAAATCCATGAATCAAATTATTTAAACTTTCCATGAATCTACCCTTATTAATTTTGCACTAACTCTATATCCTCACTACATACTCATAGTTGAATGAATGATGCGTTAACTAGCCCAATTTTCTGGTTACTCCTAATCATATGGGTTATGTGCCTACCACAAAAATGGGTGGGGTTTGCTAACCAGCTATTCAGTAAGCCTGTACACAGCCACAATCTACGAATTAGCTAAACAATGTTATGCAAACAATTTGATTCATTTATAATGCAATGGTTTGGGTGAACCTTTTTACTAAATTGGTAAGCAACTTTGCTAATTTAGTAGCAAAGTGAAGCATATAATAAGTATATAATGTATATAATGTAAATTCTACAGGCTGGCCACTTTCTATCAGGATCATGGCCAAATTACCCCAATAAATAATTGTATGTTAACTTAAAATATTGGATATCAAGGTCCTTGTTTTATCTGACCTCAGAAGAAAGGGCTGAGTTTCAATTTTGCTTATGGCTTTTGAGGACAAAGATGAGAAGCTAAAGTGGCTTTTTCAGTCTCTTCCCTTAATGAATTTGAGATGGAAGAAGGCTGGGAGAAACTTCACTGTAGTTCTGACTCCAATCAAGTCATTGTCCATCTCTGTGGATGTAGAACCAGTCTGCTGTAGTAGTTAAGGCAGGGCTCTTCAAACTTGGCAACATTAAGACGTGTGGACTTCAACTCCCAGAATTCCTGGCTGGCTGAGGAATTCTGGGAGTTGAAGTCCACAAGTCTTAAAGTTGCCAAGTGTGAAGACCCTTGAGTTAAGGCATCAGACTAGAAACTGAGAGATTGTGAATTCTAGTCCCATTTTAGTAACAAAGCCAGCTTGCTCATCTTGGGCCAGTCACTTTCTCTTAGCCCTAGGGAGCAGGAAATGCCGAACTATTTCTCAAAAAATATTGCCAAGAAAACTGCAGGGATTTGTCCAGGCAATCTCTCAGAATTGGACATGACTGAATGGAAGAAAAAGAAAGATCAGTAGGTAAGTCATTTCCTATGGTTTAAGACATATTAGAGATTCATCCCCACATACAGTTTTACCCAACATTAAGGATCCACACCAATAATTCCTTGAGGCCATGAAGACATGACATCACCCTCCATCTGTCCTTTGTTCACTGCCTTTGCAGCCTATACCTGTCTTTCCTTGCTCCACTTCAGAAGTAAGGTTTTTCCACTTCTGCCACCACAAACCATTCTAAATGCTCTGTGCACAGAGAACCACCATGAGATAAACGGAAGGATGTCCTGCTCTTACTGACTACCCTAAGGCTCCTGAGGTGACTTCCCTTTTTAGTCCTGGATGTTGATTTTCAGGGCCATTTGCTTTTAGCAATAGCTAATCAAGACTCTCCTACCATGCAAAAAGGAAGAGGAACTGGGAGAGGAAGGAAGGATGATTTTTTTTTTTACCAGAATTCCCCGGCTCTGGAAAGCAGACATGGAAGGAGATGATCATTTGCCACTTTTCCAAGCAGATTAGAGAATTGGAAACAAGGGGGCAGCTCTTCTGGGTTTCCCCCCATGCTGCTTTTTTTTCCCTTTAGAAGAGAGGAGAATGGACAGAAAGCTGGGCTTTTGGATGCCAGTTCTTCTAGTAACCAAAAGATCTGTGTCCCCCACAGGTCTGCTATTCTGCTATCCGCAGAAAAGCTTCCCCTGCATTGTGGATTAGGTGGAGGAATAAGGCACGAGGGCTTTTTATGCATGTGTTCATTGTGGTAAGCTGTTAAAAATGTGCCCCTCTGATGTGGACCAGCAATGCAGCAGAGAACTGTTCATACATCCCAAACAGTCATCACAAGTTCCACATTGGGGTGCTGAGGCTGCAGGTCTGCCCCCTGGACAAGTGTTTGAATAATAATAATAATAATGATGATGATGATGATAAAGTTGGAAGGGACCTTGGAGGTCATCTAGTCCAACCCCCTGCTCAGGCAGGAAACCCTATACCATTTTGGACAAATGGCTGTCCAGTCTCTTCTTAAAAACTTCCAGTGTTGGAGCATTCACATCTTCTGGAGGCAGGTTGTTCCATTGGTTAATTGTTCTAACTGTCAGGAAGTTTCTCCTTAGTTCTAGGTTGCTTCTCTCTTTGGTTAGTTTCCATCTGTTGCTTCTTATTTATTTATTTATTTATTAATAAAATTTATATGCCGACTCAGGGCGGCGTACAAAATTAAAATAATAAATATAACAATAAAAATGACTGCATTCATACAGCATGTCCCAATCGTATCCTGCCCCCCCCCCCCGGGGACATCAACCCCAGGCCTGCCAGAACAGGAGAGTTTTAATGGCTTTCTTGAAGGCCGGCAAGGTGGGAGTAGTTCGAATCTCGGGGGGAAGTTGATTCCACCACGTTGGAGCCACCACAGAAAAGGCCCTTCCCCGAGGGCTCGCCAGCCGACATTGTCTGGCCAACGGGACCTGAAGGAGGCCCAATCTGTGGGATCTCACCAGTCTCTGGGAACTATGCGGCAGTATGCGGTCCTGTAAGTAACCTGGTCCTAAGCCATGAAGGGCTTTAAAGGTGATAACCAACACCTTGAATTGCGTCCGGAGACCCACAGGAAGCCAGTGCAGCTCGCGGAGGATAGGTGACACGTGGGTGTACCTTGGTGCACCCACAATCACTCTCGCGGCTGCATTCTGAACCAACTGCAGCCTCCGAACGCTCTTCAAGGGTAGCCCCATGTAGAGCGCATTGCAGTAATCCAGTCTTGAGGTGATAAGGGCATGAGTAATGGTGCTTTGGAAAATAAAAATGCCTCCCCTCTTTTCTGAAGCAATCGATGGTCAGTGGCTTTATTAGAGGGATGTCAAAGCCACAGAGGACACTTTTAAAACATTCACCGGGGGGGGGGGCACATTTCAAGCTGGGAAAAGCAGCTGTGCTGCTGCACATGGTTAAAGATGATAAAGCAGCTTCCCAAGGAGTGCTGGCTCCCCAACTTCAGTTCTTACCCCTGGCAAGAAAAGCAGGGGTAGGAAAGGAGGGAGTGGGCCTTCTCTCTCCATTTCTTTTATCATGGATAGTGGGAGAAACAGGGAGGAGAAGAGCAACAAAGAACAGTTGCTTTGGCTTCAGTCATGACATCCCACATCTTTGGCTGCCAAAAACTGGTCTCAAGTGAGAAATTCTCCACTCTACTTCTGGTGGCTCTCTGTGCCATAGAACTTCAATTCTGTTTTATGCCAAAACAGAATTATAATTCAAATTGCAATCAGATCTTCTTCTTTGAACTTCTGAGTGCACTACCATGGAGAAGAATTCGAGGTCAACTTTCTTCTGCCAATGTGGCTGATAAAGGGGGTCTAGTTCATGAAACTCTAAGTCAATTTATTAAGGTACAACAGCTTCTTTGTTTTGTCTTATTATGTCGGTATTTTCTAATTAAAAATTTTGATCATGAAACCAGATCTTGATCAAGAAGAACTAGGTCATATTCAATGCCCAGGTGGGATGAACTACAGATCATTAATTAGTCCTGCGCAACTACACTGCCATTTCATCCAGACTTTTATTCTGCATTAAAGTTGATAGAATGCCAAACATCAAAGCATGCTCTCTAAATTCCTTCTGTACAAAACTGAAGGAAAAATAATTAAGTACAGTTTTCCTGTACTGCAGACTTCTTGTTTGATTGGTGACACATGCCTGCTTCTCTTTATTTTTATGACAGAAGCAGAAGTGAAATCTAAAGGTGACTTGTATGGTAGTAAATCTACAGCCTATTAAAAAGGGTGCAAAGAGGCTTTGAAACCAACTGCTGGTCCTTTTTGTTGGCCTTCTGTTATATTTCTCCCTGTATTCAGTGGAGCCATTTTCTGATCATTTTCCAACTAAAATTTTCTGTTACAGCTGCTCTGTTGCTACAAATTAATAAGGCTGAAATCTTATGCATACTTGATGGAAATAAATTAGAGAGCTAAAGCAGTGACTTTCCAAAGTGATACTATATGACTGTAAAAAAGCTGTACATTGAGAAAGAACGAGAAAAATATAAGCATCACTGAAGTATGGATTTGGCGATGTTGCTAAGAATATCATGGCCCCACAAAGAGAAGGAAGTAAAGGCTGACTGCTAACTCTGAGGCAATAATCAGCAGCTAAAAGCTACTCTAAGGATGGATGGATGACAGATTAGGAAAAATGATTAAATTTGTTTAAGGAAATCAAGAGAGAAAACTACAGATGAAGTGAGCAACATAAAATGATTTTGGAAGATCTGTGGATCGTTGCTGGAATCTGCAGATTTGTTCATAGAAGGGTTAGGGTCAAGCTTGAGTTGTCAGCCCCTAACATTATACATGTATAATGTATGTAACATTAAACCACAAAAATAGTCAACCTGCTTATTTGCGAACCCAATTCTTGTACCACATCACATGAGGTCAGTCTGTGGCTCATTGTGCCCCTAAACAGAAAAACATGGCAATCACTGTAAAGGCCGACGATCATTTCAAAGAGATTTAATCTCAGCTAAGAAGGCAATAGCAAACCACAGCTATACTGGTGCAAAAAATTGGTATGGATGGAGCCACAAGTCACTGCGAGTGACCTGACAACTTGACATTTTTGAAATGCTCAGGGGACGATACACTGCCACTGTTTCGTGCAAATTTTTTGTTGCAAACTCCTTCCTTTGGGTAGTTTACACATCACACTGAGTCATGGGTTGTTTGGTAACCTAACTGAATCAACCAAAACATTAAGCCCAATCCAGGCAAAATTTATCCTTTACCACAAGGAGTGAATTCAATGCCATAGTTTACTTCCCAAGATCCTAGTCGTCCAGTTGCAATCCGGGTATAACAGTACGACTCCCTCTCCAAAACAAACCGGAAGATCCCCATCCAGCGGCATTTTGAAATCCCCCACGCAGAAAATAACCTCTGCCAAGGAAGAAGAGGAGGACGGGAGACAAAAAGCTTTAGGGGAGCCACTTGCACCCTAACCCCAATCCGGGAAGGGAGGAAAAAAAAATGCGGGCTTGAACAACTTCCTACTCCGCTGCCAGCAAGCAACCGCTAAAGACCAACCCTTTAACTGCCGCCAACGTGGAGCTTAATTTCTGCCCTCTGCAAACGGCGGCGGCGGCGGTGGCGGCAGCAGCAGCGTGGAGGAAGCGATGAATGGTCAGAAAGGGGCGGTGGCTGACTCTTTGCCCTCCCCAGACGGTTGCCGTGCCGGGTTTTCTGCCTGTAGTTCGCGGCGTCCCTGAGTTCTCCCAGCGGCCGCGGGGGTAAAGGCTGCAGAAGGGCTCCTCGGAGAAAGGAGCGAAACGCGAGCAGCGCGGCTTCTTCGCTTCCCTCCTCCAGGGCTTTCTTTCTTTTCTTTTCTTTTTTTTTTTTTGGCGGGCGGGTAAGGAGAGTTTCTGCCATGACTACATATAGCGGCGCTGAGTGAGCGCGCATTCCCGAGCTGCCGCCGCCGCCGCTGCTTCTGGGCACCATGAGGGGACTGGCGAAGGTTTTTTTCCTGGTTCTGCTGTATCTCGGCAAGGTAAGACATTTGGAGGTTGAGGTCAAGGAGGGGGGGAAGGCTGGGGCGGGGGGATCGACCTTCTGCGGGAGAAGTTTTCGGTGGTGTGGCCGTTCCCCCCGCCCCCATCCCCGCATTCACCTCTGCCGTGGATGAGGTAGCCCCTCCCCCACCTTCGAGAAAACTTGCTCTTGTAAACGCCGCCCGCTTTCAACTCTTAACTTCCTCCTTCCTACCTGTTTACTCCCCTCTCCCGCCCCTCTCCCCGCTGCCGTCATTCTTGTGACACCAGGGTGCTTTTTTTTTTTTTTTTTGGTCAGCTGGGAAAGTGGAAAAAGCTTTCCTTTAGTCGCTCTGCTCCCGTTCAGAAAAGGGGAGGCTTCTCGCCCAGAGGTTTTGCTGATAGACATGCTGGAGGGTTGCGTCTACCCCGTCCGTCTTTTGTGCAAAATTAGGCGCCCGAAAACCCCTTCGGGTCAACGGGCTTAGGTTTTGCCATCCCACCCCTTGCAGGGACTGTTCGCCAGGAGTCAAAAACCGCCTCCAAAGTAGATACAGGCGAAGATTTAACAGTGCAGAGACGATTCACAAGCGATTGCGAAAGCCTGCTTGGTTGTGACAGCGTATAATTATTGAATTGTTTGTATGCATTCCCATACATATGTCATTAATAAATCAAACCTCGTTAAGCATTCCAGAGGCGACTATTGGGATTACAAAAATCCGGACAGCGCTACACGACAGCGTAGCTTTTGGTTTTGCTCTGTTTACTGGTTGCCCGGATTTTTGCATTCCAAATATTCTATCATTAATATCGGAATAAAAGATAAGCGAATAAGATGTTAAGTTTGTGGTGTGTGGCCTATCTCATCCATCATGCTAAGTAAGCCACAGTCACCACAGTCACCACTTTTGGCTTGATGTTGCCACTCAGATTCACAAATCATAGTTTGTAGTAACAGCCCTAGAAGTGAACGCAATAGCTTAAAGCTCTGAATATGAGTTCCAGAAGAACTCTAAAACATTTTCAAAGTTGCAAGTTTCAGTGTGACAGAAAGGGGGAATAGTATGTGAGTGCAAAGTAACCATGTTAATAATAATTAAAAAAATACTGTAAAGGCCAAGCATGAGTCCAACTGTGAACCATTCACATATGGTTCATGGTTTACTGTTTTAATTTTAATAATAATTAAATATTATTATTATTAATTTAAATAAATATTAAAATTTCGAATGTGTATTTAAATGTTTATTTTCTGAAGTGACTTCTCAATTTGTCCGAAAAATCATTGTGCCAGTAATCTAATCTAATCTAATCTGTAATCTCAAAGTATATCTGTTCATTGATTTGTTTGGTAAATGTAGTCTTTAATGCTGGTTTTTTTTAATATTTTGCTCTTCTCACTTTTAAGAACTATGGAGGTCTACAAAAGAGTTTTTATTTGTATGGGTTATATTTATCATTTACCATACCAAAAATTAATGTGGACATGTTAATAGAATACTTATTAAATCATGTAATAAATTATTATAAATAATGGTAGTTCTAAATTATATAAATTATAATAATCATAAATATTAAACCATTAAATATTAACATACATAATATTTTGTCATGGACACTATACAACAGGGGTGTCAAACTGCCAGCCCGCAGGCCGGTTTCATTATACTGGAGCTGCGTCCACCCCATTGCCGACAATGGCGAAAAAGCTCCGATACGTGTACAACTATTTTGTAACAAAGAGAAAAGTGACATTTAAATTTTTTGCAAATATCTTCATTTTGAGTTTGTGGACCCCTAAGAGGATCTTTGGTGGAGGGGCTTGGCATCCTTGGGTCACACTTTCAGAAATGCTACTTTAATTCTTTTCAGCTTTAATGGAGTTGGAAGGATGCAGTTTTGCTACCCTTCCTGTATTTGCTGAAGTATTTGCTTAGGTTTTTTTTACTTGCTCTGTGTTCTTTTTTTATCTTCCTGTGGTTTAGCATGCTGACCATAAAACAGAAGGAGCAAATCTTCCTTTCCTTTTTCCCAAATATATATCCATTCTAATATGAGTTTACAGAGGAAACAATTATTCTAATATGCTATTACAAAATGAACAGATGGTAGATAGCTGAGATAACCAGTAGAATGGAATAGCAAATACAAAATGCTATGTAGCATTAATTCATTGAGGGACTTACAGAAGGAGGAAGTCATGTTGGATCTGATTAATTTATAATTTATCTGGAGGAAAGATCTCTGCTGTAGTTCAATCTCAGTTATGGAGACTACATCGGCTCTCTAAAACCTTGTAGGTTCTTTAAGATCTCCAAAATGCACCACATAGTTAGAGTTCTAATGCAAAGGAAGAAGGATTATTTATTAAACGCAGAGCTGACGTGTAATTATATTCACTTTACAGTATTTAAATATAAATGTCATCAGATTAAATTGTACATTTTTGCTATATGACTCCCAGTTTATCACTTCATGGCCCAGAAAAGTTACATATTCCTCATTTACAGTATGCTGTTGTCTTGGATTGTAGTGCATTTTAGTGATTTTCCAAGGACTTGTTTCTAGACTAATGCCAACAGAAATAAAGGCCAGATTCACATGTTGTACTAAGCTGGGAATTGTACCAAGGTTTGCAGAATTATACTATGCCATAGCTGCTTGAATTTGGTTAATAGAATATATTAAAATTGGCTAGATTCACACATTATGTAAACCAGTGATAACAATGCTGTGATTTAGGGTGAAATTAGCCCTCAGTTTATACAAGGATCCAGGCCATTGGGAACCCCAGCTGTTAATACATGCATCTTTAAAAGCCTGCCTCCTACATGTGATGCATTTGCTTGCAATATTCCCATAAGAAAGCTCTGTAGCCCTCCCCAACTATGGAATATGCTAGGAATTAAAAAGGAGTTAGTGTTTGTTACAATGAGATGGAAAACATTTGCCTTTTTTGATACTGCTGAATTATAGCTCTTAGCATCTGTCACCACTAGGCATGCTGGCAGGGGTTAGTGGAATTTATCATTCAGCTACATTTGGAGGATACAGATTCCCCACCCAGGTTAATGATACGGTTGGTCTTGCAGGTTTAGTAATATCGGCAACAACAAAATTTCCTTTATTGTTACTGCAGCTGTCATCTACGCATTAACTTATAAGATTTATACAATACTTTGGTCTGAACAGCTCTTAGGAGTTCGCAGTTATCTATATTTGTTGAATAACTTTAAAAACGTGGTCATCAGAACATACCTCTTTCCTCATAACATTGGGTAGATTAGCCAATGTAGTGACACCTTTTTGCATATATACATCTGCCCCATTGCTACTGTTATGATACACCAAACTATTATGTTACCCCAAAAATAAGACCTAACTGGTAAATAAGCCCTAGCATGGTTTTTCAGGATGCTCATAATATAAGCCCTACCTCAAAAATAAACCCCAGTTAAGATCATCAGCCAGATGGATGCATTTAGTACCATATTTCCCTGAAAATAAGCTCTAATGCAGGGGTGACAAACTGCCGGCCCATGGGCCGGTCGCATCATACGGAGGCCGTGCCCACCCCAGCTCCAGCAATGCAAAAAAAGTTGCGATACGTCGTGGCACGTCACGTGACATGGCAAGTTTGACACCCATGCCCTAATATATCTTTTGGAGCAAAAAATAATATAAGACCCAGTCTTATATTAGTGGAAATATGGGTATAAACTGATCATAAACTGATTAGAGTGCAATACTTGGCTAAAATGTAGTTGGTTGATTTTGCAAATTAGCAACATTTATGGTAAAATAGAAAATTTGATTAGATCTTAATGATTCTGTTAGCATTTGGGCATCCATCAGGATCTCAAACTCTAAGAACTCTTCAGTTCTAAGGTAATCATGTCTGTGGACAAAAGTGCTTGGAAAATTAGGGGTCCTTGTTATCACCATCCCTTCAGTATAAACCAGCTCTCCCCTTCCATCCCAGCCTGTGGGAAACCAGGAGAGGATTGAAGGGGAAATCCTCATCCACCCTGGGTTTGGCTAAATATAAAAAAGGAAACAGCCAGGCTGAGGTGGGTAGGAGAAGATCACCGGTCAACTCCAGGACTTAAACAAAACTCAACTTTATTAAAGGTATCAAAAGAACATAAGAGTCCACACATAATACACAGCCAAAGAAGATAAAATACACCCACCCTCCCATATACACAGAGAAAGTTCCAACTAGAGCTACATAACTTTTAACTGCCATCCAGGACTCCAGCCAACGTTCTCTCAACTCACTTCCAAACTCTTTTTCCCTTCCTACAACCTGACAGATTGCCCTTCTTTTCTTCCATCGATGGCGCTCAAGTGTGGCGACTCTCTGAGCACATAAGGCTGGCTTGTGATTTATATGGCTGGCTGTGCCCCCTATATAACCTAATGGGGGTAAGTAGTGAGGGGTCCTTGGTGCTCTCTGAGCTTGATTGTTTTCTTGCAGACCTTTCATTACCCAAACTAGGTAACATCATAAGCACATAAGCATTATACCTAGTTCGTATAGTGAAACATCTGCAAGAAAACAACCAAGCTCAGAGAGCACCAAGGAGACTTCATTTCAACCCTGAGCTACAAATATTCTTCTTTATTGGGAGTAAGTAGTGACCTAAGTATCATTGGGATCTTTCACTGCAGATGGAATGAGAAACAAATAGCTATTCTATTTCATGATCAAATCATTAACATTTGGCATCCTTAGAAGCCAGTGGAAAAGTATGTAACAGTAGGAATGAAAAGAACATGTATTCTTCTATAGATAAAATGTGTAGATATGAGAAGCCACAGATATACAACACCATTGTATCATCTGAGGCTTAAGAATTTTAAAAGAACCAACATGGTATTAAATAAAGAGCTAAAAATGCCGTTTCTTAATGAGTGGGTTCACACTTTGTGTCAAGTCGTAATTTAGGATTTGACTTAGCAACTTGATTGAAAAGAACCTTTAATATGTTGCAATCCATGATTTATTGCTTAG